TTCTCTCCTCTCTGTCCTCTCTCCTCTGTCTCTCTCTCTGTCTACTCTCTCTGTCTCTCTCTGTCTGTCTCTCTCTCTCTCTGTCTGTCTGTCACTCTCTCTCTCTCTCTGTCCTGTCTTTGTCTGTCTGTCTCTCTGTCTCTCTGTCCTCTGTCTGTCGTCTCTCTCTCTGTCTGTTCTCCTCTCTGTCTCTCTCTCCTTGTCTCTCTCTGCTGCTTCTCTCTGTCTCTCTCTGTCTCTCTCTGTCTCTGTTCTGTCTCTCTCTTCCTGTCCTCTCTTGTCTTCTCTCTCCTCTGGTCTGTTGTCTCTCTCTCCTGTCTGTCTCTCTCCCTCTCTCTCTCTTCTGTCTGTCTGCTCTCTGTCTGTCTTCTCTGTGTTCTCTCCTGTCATGTCTGTCTCTCTGTCTCTCTCTCTCCTGTCTGTCTGTCTCTGCTGTCTCTCTCTCTGTCTGTCCTCTCTCTGTCTGTCTGTCTCTCTATCTGTCTCTCTGTCTGTCTCTCTGTTTCTGTCTGTCTCTCTGTCCTGTCTCTCTGTCGTCTGTCGCTCTGTCTGTATGTCTGTCTGTCTGTCTCTCTGTCTCTCTCTCTGTCTTGTCTCTCTCTCTGTCTGTCTGTCTCTCTCTCTGTCGTTGTCTCTCTCTCTGTCTTCTGTCCTCTGTCTCTCTCTCTCTGTCTGTCTGTCTCTCTGTCTTCTCTCTGTCGTCTCTCTCTCTGTCTGTCTGTCTTCTATCTGTCTCTCTGTCTGTCTCTCTTCTGTCTGTCTGTCTCTCTGTCGTCTTCGCTCTGTCTGTCTGTCGTCTGTCTGTCCTGTCTGTCTCTCTCTCTCTGTCCTGTCGTCTGTCTGCTCTCTGTCTGTCTTGTCTCTCTGTCTGTCTGTCTCTCCTGTCTTCTCTCTCCCTGTCTGTCAGTTCTCTCTGTCTGTCTGTTCTCTGCTGTCTCTCTCTGTCTGTCGTCTCTCTCTCTCTCTCTCTCTGTCTCTCTGTCTCCTGTCTGTCTGTCTCTCTGTCTGTCGTCCTCTCTGTCTGTCTCTCTCTCTGTCGTCTGTCTCTCTGTCGTCTGTCTCTCTCTCTGCTGTCTGTCGCTCTGTCCTGTCTGTCGCTCCTGTCTGTCTGTCTGTGTATCCGGTTGCTAGGACAGGCGTTTGCTTGCTTGTTGTTAGGGAAGAACGTCCATCAGCACGCCGTGCGCAGCGCGACTGCGGGCGTCCTAGCAACGCCGGGAGGTTTATTTACATCCAGAAATCTGTTGTTTGTTTATAACAGATCACAAGATTAAAAGTAGTATGGTGTTCTTTGGATGAAACTCAGCATTCTTTCTAATACAAAAAGAGTTGAGTTTTAAAAAAGTTATATTTTGGTTTCATCTGACATATAACATTCTCCAAATCTTTTCTGGATCATCAAAATGCTCTAGCAAATATTTAGACGGGCCTGACATGTAATGGCTTAAGAAGGGGGAAAGTCTGGAATGCAGGATTTAGACCCTGGGGCGTAGTGTGTTACTGATGTATAGCCTTTTTACTTTGGTCCAGCTTCTGCAGGTAATTACTAGGTCCCCGTGTGGTTCTGGGATTTTTGCTACCGTTCTTGTATCATTTTGACCACGGGTTAGATCTTGGGTGGAGCCCCAGATCGAGGGAGATTATCAGTGGTCTTGTATGTCTTCCATTTTCTAATAATTGCTCCCACAGTTGATTTCTTCACACCAAGCTGCTTACCTATTGCAGATTCAGTCTTCCCAGCCTGGTGCAGGTCTATAATTTTGTTTCTTGTCCTTTGACAGCTCTTTGGTCTTGGCCATATGGAGTTTGGAGTGTGATTGTTTGAGGTTGTGGACGGGTGTCTTTTATACTGATAACAAGTTCAAACAGGTGCCATTAATACAGTAATGAGTGGAGGACAGAAGCCTCTTAAAGAAGAAGTTACAGGTCTGTGAAAGCCAGAATCTTGCTTGTTTTAGGTGACAAATACTTATTTTATTTTATTTTATTTATTTTATTTTCATTAAAATCCTACAATGTGATTTTCTGGATTTTTTTTTCTCATTTTGTCTCATAGTTGAAGTGTACCTATGATGAAAAATTACAGGCCTCTCTCATCTTTTTAAGTGGGAGACTTGCACAATTGGTGGCTGATAATAAATACTTTTTTGCCCCACTGTAAATCCACAACCACAACAGATACATATGCAGAAAACCCACTATAAATGCACACATTAAGACACTTAGAATGAGCTATGTAATGTGAATTAAATACTTTGTTGTTTGAAAGGAAGGTCAGTCTTAAAAGGTATGCATGAGTGTAGACTGCTGGATGTTTTCCTAATACAGTTTTTCTCATTGAGGTTTCGGAGACAGAAAACTCTTTGCAGCAAGAAGATCTCATTGCTTTATGTGTGTTTTCCTCTGTAGATGGGGTATCCTATTCTCCCACCCAAGGGACTTCACTCCTGTCTGCACCACTGAGCTAGCCTGTGCCGCTAGGATCAGCAATGAGTTCAAGAAACGAGGAGTGAAGATGATTGCCTTGTCTATTGACAGTGTTGAGGATCACCGCAACTGGAGCAAGGTTAGGGATACACACACACACACACTCATTGTATACCTCTACCTCAGTTTAATTGCGGTGTGTACGTGGTTAATGGATGACTTTGTTGAACTTGTCAGGCTACTGTGGATAGAGTAACATTTGATGAAGGTAATTAACCTTCACATACATACCTTCACAACTGTGACATTTGAAAACAGTTTCTTTACTATCTAGATACATTGACAGTGGCGCCATAAGTCACGGTAATCACATGGGTATTATCTGCCAACTCCACCTTTTAATGTCTAGTGTAATGTCTAGATAATCTGCATCGGCTGATTCTTTCACTCACAAGGCAGAAAAAAACAAACATGACTGCAGACACATTTGCAGGCAGCCCTGTCAGTGTGTCTGCTGTGGAGCGATGTTAGCGCTCCCCCTTGTGAGTTTTGGGAATGTGGTGAAAAAGTTAGTTTGGAGCACTGTACTATAACTCTCATGTATCCTGCTGTAAACATTCACCATTGTATTTTTTAAAATACACTTTCCTCTAATCCTAAATGACAACAAATCTAATCTAAAGCCGTTACTGGCTAGTATTGTCTATGTATATTAGATTGTAATGTGCATAAAATAATGGAGTTATACAATATTTTTTTTTGTTTTGACATCTGCATTATATATCAGCCGCTGGTCGCCCCGCTCTCTAAATATTGGCAGTGGTTGTGGCTATTGGAAAAAAAAGCCTTATTGGCAAACTACTAGTCTAGTGGACAGGATCTCTGCTGTCCTGTAATCTGAATTTTTGACCAGAACCAATCCAAAAACACTGGAAATTACAGTTTACACAACTCTCCACTAGTTGGACACATGTAAAATGCGATCTGTAGCTCTGATGAACTTGAAATATCTCAGCTAAACTGTTTCTCCACATTTATTTGACTGTTTAATACAGGCACATTAAATATTCTCCATCTGTTAATTTTGCATTTGTTGTGTGAATTTTAATTTAAATTTAATTGAATTTACATAGATTTTAATTTGTTTTTTTAGTACTTTAGCAAGTACAAGTTTAAATTAATTTGTAAAAATGTAATTGATGTATTTTAATTGAACTATTAAGTTCATTTTTATTTATTTTAATCCACTTTGACTATTTATTTAATTTAAATTGCATGTAATCAATTAAATGTATTTTTTTCATTTAATATTCTATTAAATTTTAACTGAATATCCACGGAATTAAACTTTATCCATCTGTCAAGATCATTATAAAATTTTGCTCTTGCTTGCCTTTAAATCTGAATACCACTGTGACTGTATATGTGGTGTTTGGCGGAAAATCAGGAGTCAGATATTCATGGGTTAAACCCTCAACACAGACGTGGATTCACTGTGATTGGTGTTTAACTGGGTTGCCACATTACAACAACGCCTCCTCAGAAAGACCAGTGATTGGTCCAAGAGGGAATACTCACAGTATTAGTCTGATGAACTGTGTGGTTTTGATTTTACAACAGTAACATCACCTGCCCTCCTGCCAAAAAAGAAAAAAAGCCACATGCTTTTTGATCTTAGTGTTTCCGTCTTTGCAACAGTATTGGTACTATGTCATAATGCGTGAGCATTTAGTTCATGGCCCTCATTGAGACTTGTAACGTGCTATTGAACCACTGTTTATGACTTATGCAAGAGTTAAAGATTAAAAGTCTCTGGTCACTCATCAAACCTGTGCTGCAATGCTGGAGATGTTAAAATGGACTGAACCAACTTAGGATAAAGACATACACACATTAACCAAAGGTGTAAATGTGTCTCTTCCCTCTGTATAGGATGTGATGGCATTTAACAGTGACGCTGAAAGCGCTCTGCCCTTCCCCATTATTGCTGATGACAAGAGAGAGCTGTCTGTCCAGCTTGGCATGCTGGACCCTGATGAGAGAGACAAGGACGGCCTGCCCCTCACCGCTCGCTGCGTAAGAAACCTGTACTCCTTTTGTTACACTAATGGCCTCTTCATCAAAGCTGGATATACAGTATATGTATATATAGTATATATACATGATCCAAAATTAAGATGCCAAATGCCAGTAAGATTTGTCTTTTGTAGAAAGATCTGTCCTCCCCCAACATTCCTGCTTGTGAAAGGTTTTAGTCTTTATTCTCAATCATTTATTTATCTGGCAGCCAATCAAATCAGAGCAAAATTCTGGCTTTGTGCTTTGAGGTTAGCTAAAGAAATCCTCATCTAGTACAGCAGGCAAAATTTCTCTGACATTACCTGTTGTTCTGTATGAGTAAATTGATTAAATTATGTACTTTTTTAATAAAAAAAAAAAATAAAAAAAATATTTTTTTTGGCGAGTGAAACCTTATCTTCATAGTAAAAGGTTTTTGTGGACATATTTATCTCCGGAGCAAACAGGAAGAATATTCTGGATGTTATGTTGACCATGTGTCATCTTAACCCACTTTAGGTCTTTGTGGTTGGCCCCGACAAGAAGCTGAAGCTGTCCATCCTCTACCCTGCCACCACAGGAAGGAACTTTGATGAGTTGCTCCGAGTTATTGACTCTCTGCAGCTCACTGCACAGAAGAAGGTTGCCACACCTGTCGACTGGAAGGTATACAGTTAAACCATGTGTTCACGTCAGTCAGTAGCCTCAAATGAATGCATAGCAGCATTACTACGCTTAATAACAGTTACATTAGATAGATAGAGATAGACTGACTGACTGACTGACTGACTGACTGACTGACTGACTGACTGACTGACTGACTCATAGCAGCCAGGTACATTAATATACAATAGAATAAAATACTTAGATAGAAAAGATAAAGAGGTGTAGTTGCAAGATGGTGGTAGTAGTACTGATGACATGATGGTAGTGTAATTGTTAATAACAGAATATAATGATTATTATTATATACTATCTATCTATATATATACTATATATATATATTAACTGTGCACACATCAAGCTCAACATTTGAACTTTTAGTCTCATTTATCAAGCAAATAAATGCTGTGATACACATCCATGTAATGTTAGTACAGCAAATAAATGAAAACCCACCTTCAACATCTAATCAATAGAACTCATCAACTTTAATCTAATGGAGACAGATTTAATTTGTTTTGAAATATTTTTACAGTTGTATGAAAATGTTTGGGTACCCTTTGACAAACAAATTTTCGTAATTTTTTATTTGAAAAGATGTAAACACAGTCTCTCTAGGAACAAACATTAATGCGGGTAAATCAATTTAATCAAATTTAGGTAAATTGAACAAAAATATACAAATAAATTTAGATAACACAACGTCAAAATGTGTTCATCATTTACATTTCACATGTCTTTCATTACAATAAATTGATGTAGGAGACATTTTTGTAGGAACAACAGGTAGAGTTGATAAGATATGTAAGTGCATCCCTTCCAAACAAACACATTTCTGGTAGAAACACTGAAGAAAATGACCAAAAGCCACATGATACAGGGGCCATATAAGACTTTTTCTCAACCTGTAACCAAAACTAGACCCAGCTTCTAAAACACACTTCTCTGTCTCTTTCAGCCTGGTGACAAAGTCATGGTCATTCCCTCGCTCTCTGAGGCTGAAGCTGCTGCTCTCTTCCCCAATGGTGTGACCACTAAAGAGGTTCCTTCTGGGAAGAAATACTTGCGCTACACCCAGCCCTGAAGAGACACTAAAGACTACATCCCGCACTAGTTTACTGCTCTTTGACCTGAAAATCTTCAAATAATAACGTAATAATTCACATACAGAAATGACCAAAATCATAGATGCACTTATCTGGTTTGGTGGCTATTGTGTAATCATGCAATGTGTCCATCAATGAACCGGGATCATTTATAGTGTCATTGTACAGTGCCTTGCTTACCTTCCTTCAGTAAACACACTTTTCACACATGTCTTCTGAATCTTTGAATCTTTTGACACAGTTCACAGTTTGAGACAACAGACAAAGTTTCGCAGCAACTACAGTACCACTAGGTGTCCTACTACAACCTAAAATAGAAATATCACCATGCCGCAGTACTGTCTTTATGGGAATAGATGGCAGTATATCCACTATGATTGACCCACTAATGGACTTCTCTGACAGCACCAATCTGTTGTTAACAGTTGCAGTGATAGGGAGTGGTACCACATGGACTCAAATTACTAGTTACATTTCCATGAATTAAAAACAGGATTGGCCACATTAAGTTGATATCTACTTTCAGCTGTGTTGTTTAGGCAGATTTTTCAAAGTACACATAGAGGCTTGCGAAACTTTTACTCTGCATTTTTCATCATTTTGCCAACTCAGCATTACAGGCTAATGCCCCAGCTGTCTAAATGTCTTAAAGTACCATTGATTAGTCTTTTAAATTGATAGTTCTGTTTGCTCTATGGTTCATGTCAAGGCCTTTTAAATGCCATTATCCAGATGAAAGCCCAAAAGGATGTGGAAAGTAACAAAGTACTTTCAAGTACTTTAAGTATACTTTTAAGGTACTTTGAATATATCCATGCTACGTTATACTTCTGCAGCACCACATTTCAGAGGGAATATTGTACTTTTAACTCCACTATTTATCTGACAGTTGTAGTTACTGGTTACCTTTTACATTAAAATAAAAAAATTTCATCACATTGATTAAACCAGTGGTTTCCAACCTTTTTAGCTTGTTAACTTCTTACAATAAAGTAGTGTCTACTTGTTATTAGTTGTTTTCCCCCTAAACTTTTCAGGTGGTTAAATTTCACTAATTGTTCGAAGCCCAAAGAGGTAAAATTATCAAATATTTTACAAAAAGTAAAGATTTGAGAGGAGTAAAATAAAAAGAACATACATTTCCTCTCCCTCATCTCATTTGTCTTTGGAGGGGCCCAACCCCTACACAACTGTATATACAGTAGTTACTGATGCATCTGTAGTAATCTTATTGTGTAATATAATATTACATGATCACTCACAGGGATCATTTTATTGCAGAATGAGTCAATTATATAAAGTACATTATGTTGATAATACTCATGTACTTTTTACTCTTTTGAATGCAGAACTTTTACTTGTAATTGAGTATTTTTAAACTGTTGTATCGGTACTTTTAAGTAAAGGATCTGAATACTACTATTTGCTTTAACACATCATGATTAACAGAACAGGCTATAACAGAGATTTCATTATGTCAAGCATGTATTTTTGAGAATTTATTTTAATTTCAGTTCAGTTCAGCTGAATAAAAACTGAATAATTACCTCAATAAATATACACAGAATCAAAACTATAAAGGACTGACACAGATTAAGGACTTTTTCAGCTTGAAGTTAACTCATCTCAGCAGGTCGGCCTCAACTATGAGACACTGAAGCCAGGACAGAGGTGTAGGTTTCCTCTTTGAGTTATTTAACCCTCAAAACTGCGTGGCTGAGGCTCGTATTAATTACTTTGAGTAGTCTGAAGCTGAACACTGATCTCGTGCACACATGCACACACACTCTGGCCTTGCATTCACTCTGTCTGAGGAATGCTGAGGTCAAAGAGAAAAGATGGGATTCCCTTTGAGTGAGGAGGGAGGTAGAGAGTGTGCAGAGCCAGATAAAATATCTTTGGGCCCTCCTACTTTTCACTCCTGTCATCCACACAATGTGAACTGGAATGTTATTCTTCTTTTTTTCACCTTTTAATCAGTTGCTCTCTTGACAGAATCACCCCATGAAAGTTAAAGCTACAGTGCCATATTGGGTTTTTTAATCTTCCTTAAGTGCAGAGCTTCTGTGTAGAGACAGAAAGGGCCTACATTTTTCTTGACAAAAAACGCTGGATTCTGGCTTCTCAAATGTGTGATGAAAGTAAATGTATTCATCAGGTAACCCTTGCCCTCCACCTCCTCTGTGTCTTCTCTCTTTCCCTTCTCTGGTGGCTGTTTTGTCCCTAGGAGTCGTCCAAAATAACACCCACACAGACACACCGAACTGATCAAATGCATTTCTCAAATTCCAGACTACAATAGCCTGTGCCTAGCATGAGAAGCGCTTTGGGTGTCAGACACAGGCTTAATTGCCCAGTACCAACCTGCCTCACCCTCCTTCTCCCTCTCCCCCCTCCTGTTCATCTGTCACCCCTCACGTCTTGCCTATCGAGCCAACTCACCCCACCTCGCCTCAGCAACACTAGTACATGTAACACAACACCAGCCTGGGCCAGGTCTCACAGGGCAAAACACAACACACCAGCTGCTGGTCCCGCTCTCTTTCTGTTTCTACTGTTCTCTATAACGCGCGCGC